TCCTGACCAGCTCTATTTCTAAGTTTGCCCTAAATGTTGCACAAGAGAGTAATCCAACTGCAGTTTCACAAGAGAACGCCTTTCAGTTACCAGGTGGGAATGCAGTAGGAAAGGTTGCAATCAGCCAATATACCATAACTCAGATTAAAACGAAAAACACCAACCCTGACCATAACTGACACCTGATCTTCTTAAATCAGACCCTGGATAAGAGCTGCCACATTTACACTGCACCTTGTCTCAGTCTGATGAAACTTCTCCTCATCAAAATTTACAGTCCTCAGGCAATTGTGTGCATCTACCTTGTGTAGATATATAATCTCCATTATCCTAGTAATGGAGCGCCTCAGAATCTTTAACATATTTATCCTCACAACACCCCCATGAGACAGGGCAATGCTAATATCCCCATTTTACAGATAGAGAATGGAGGCACAGGCTGACTAAGTGACTTGTCCAAGGTCACACAGGAAGTCTGTGGTGGAACAGGGACTTGATTTCGGGTTCATGAGTTCCAGGCTAGTGCCCTACCCACTGGACAATCCTCTCATCCCCTCTCCCAACCTCTCTCCTGCCAGAGCCTATCAAAGTGAAGGAAAGTTTCTCCAAGGTTGAATTTCTCACCATTCATAATAAATTTGCTCAAGGAACATAGTTGGGAGAATGGAGAGGTGGAGACATAGACAGCTGGGTATTAGCAGTATTAACCCAAGTTGCACCTACACCAATGCATGACTCTTCTAATAACATTAGACACTATAGTTGAGATTCTTAAAGCTGCTCCAGGGGATTTGGATGCCCAAATCCTATTAGTTGTAATTGGAATTGGGCATCCAAATTCTAAAAAAATCTCAGCCTATATTACATTGTAGGCTCCATTGCTTTACCCGTATTCCTGTGGGGCCCTAGCTAGTGCCGTGTGAATTCAAAACTTGCCCCAGGTCACCTAAAAGTTCATGGAGGTTTGTAAACCTGGGACCAGTCTGTGCAAACATTTAGTCCTTCCTCCTAAGAAATTTCGGGGCGGGGAGGGTGTTTTGATTTGGGGTTAAAACCACGCTAAACTCTACAGTGTTGGAGGAGTTTTGTCTTACCTTTTTTTGGTTCATCCTAACTAAAATCTTAAAGGGGGAAGAAACAAATTTAGAGGAGGAGGACTTACATGACCTGAAATCAAGAGGGGTTAGTGGAATTCCCAGATCCTTAAAGCTGATGACAGTTGGTGCAGAACATAAGCAATAACTCAGATCTGTCTCAGGGCTTGTCTACAGAGTAGGGTTGTGCGCACTATGGGGGTATGATTTCTAAACTGCACTAACATGTTGTGCTTTAATTAGTCTGTGTAGACTCTGCTGGTTCTCTAGTTTTAACATAGTGCAGTACTACATTACATGACAGATGTTAATCACATAGTTTAATGCACTAATGGAAGGCTGTCAGATACTACAGTGATTAGCACTGTATTGACCCTGAATAAAATAGAATAGAAATGTCCCTGGGGACAGTAGTACACTTGGGTTTTGTTGTTTTTTGCTCTCCACTGATAAGGCCATGAAGCAACACATGAGAAGCAATGAAGGTGCATAAAAATGTAGGCACCTTCCTTAATGGTGAAGCTCTACTCCAGGGGTAGGCAACCTATGGCACGTGTGCCAAAGGCAGCACGCAAGGTGCTTTTCAGTGGCACTCACACTGCCCGGGTCCTGGCCACTGGTCCGGGGGGCCCTGCATTTTAACTTAATTTTAAATGAAGCTTCTTAAACATTTTAAAAACCTTATTTACTTTACATACAACAATAGTTTAGTTATATATTATAGACTTACAGAAAGAGACCCTCTAAAAACGTTAAAATGTATTACTGGCACGCGAAACCTTAAATTAGAGTGAATTAATGAAGACTCGGCACACCACTTCTGAAAGGTTGCCGACCCCTGCTCTACTCTTATCTGAGCTGAGGACATTGTGAAGATTTTGGTTTTGATCTGGGGAAGTCCTATCTCTGTTATGGAAGTAATAAGCCTGTTGTAAATGACAAAGCTCTATAGTTCAACTCTCCCATTCCTTCCCCTCCTATTTCTTTTCTTTTGTTTTGTTTTATTTAGCTGTGGAGGGGCTCCCTGCCCAGGGTTATTACAGACATCTGTCAAGACAGGATGTCATTTATATTTGACCATGAGGAATTTTTATATGCAGTCCAACTATTTGGACAAAATTACTTTCCTAAATTCTGTGTGCATTTTTATGATGAGATTTACAATGAGCTCATTTAGTTTCAGTTTTAGGTTCATCATTTCAAAAAGCGCATTTAAGGAGGATTTAAGGTTTTATTCTAAACTCCTGAGCTATAATTCTTTTTCATGGTGCTTATATGGCATATACTGGATGGTTCGGTAGCTCAGGTGTTAGCCTTGGACTAAGGAGACCTGGGAGTTCCCTACAATAGATAGACATAGCTGACCTCTGGGAAAATGTGTGGTAAGCCAAGGTGAAAGGACTGTGATCTTACACACTAAGTAGGGTCAGTATTTAGATGGCAGACATCCAAGGGAAACCCAAATTGGTATGGTGTTTTCAGCGGGTGACTCTATTTTCTCCGAGTTAGTATTGAATCAATGCCTCAGCCTTTTATGAGTGCGCAGTGTCTTGCGGTAGCTGCTTTTCAGATGAGACATGAAACCAAAGTCTGCTCTTGACTAGACCTGTTCAAAACATTTGCATCAGATCCTGAAGCCAGTTGAAGTGAGCCTTGGGCTGGGGGTAACTGCATTCAGAAGCTTCGGCTTATGCTGACGGAGATTTGGCAAACACGGGCTGATGTTGTTCGCATACTGATCAATAGCTAGAAAGCTGGTGAGAGCCAGCTAATATTTTAGTGGTGGGTAAAATGACTCCTTTCTATATAAATGTGTAAGGCACATTGGGAATGATGCTTAGATGCTACGTAGTGCTGGGTGCCATTAAAAGGACCTAGACAGACAGACAGATTAAATAGGTTTCAGAATGGTAGCCGTGTTAGTCTGTATCAGCAAAAACAACGAGGAGTCCTTGTGGCACCTTGTTAGTCTCTAAGGTGCCACAAGGACTCCTCGTTTTTTTTATAGATTAAATAGAAAGGCAAAATATACATATGATATTTATTCGGCAATAACAAACACCCATATGACAACAGGAATATTAGGACTTTTGTAATAACTTGTCACAGGGTGCTCTGTTCCCCACTGGAGTGTCTCCTTCTGGCCGCATCTGGGATTACCTCTGCCAGTCCAACACCCCTTACTTCAGTAGTTTACTCCAGTCTAGCTTTTGCAGTCTCACTCCTCAGCTGCTCCTGCTTCGTGGCTTGGCCCGCCAGCCACCTCATTGTAGTTCTCCCCTTCCAGGGTATCAAAGTCTCTTGAGACCCACTGTCCCAGGCAGTCTTTCTGCTCACTGCCTGTTAACGGCACTACTGCCCAGTGGTTGGTAAGGGAACCCAGGCCTGCCCTCTACATGGGGTTCCAACCCAGAGACCCTACAACAAGCAGTCACACTCTGCACAGTCCTAAACCTTACTGATGTATCCTTGGGTTACTTTCTATGTGGCCTTCTCTCACCCTGAGAGTGACTGCAGCCCCCTTCTACTCCCAGCTACTGGGCTTTATCCAAGCCCCTCCTGTTCCTCTCCAGCTGAGCTTCATCTCTGATCAGTGCTCACTGCTCCCTGGTTGCTCTTCCAGGTGCAGCCTAGGCGGTTAATTGGCTCACCTAAGCCCCTTAACCCTCTCATGCCTTCTGTGGGGTGGATACCCCATCACAGAACTGAATGCAGGCAGCTGGTGGGGGAAAGAGGACTTTTGAACACTGGAGTGGGTTGGGGTTTGCCTGAGCTTTCCGCAACACTAATAGGAATCAGGTAAAAACCTATAAACATTCTATTGCACACCATCAGACTAACTGCTGGGTTCAGACCTCAGCTGGGTTACTCTCCCATGTTGCTACTGGGTAGCCTAAAGTCCTGTTTTATTTAGGCAGCCTACAAATACTTGCTGCTAACTATAACTAAAATCATCAAGGCAGATGTTTTGACTGCATACAGCAAGTCTCCTTCCAGTCCGGTATCTTGTTTGTGTGCACTCGCCTTAGGTTTTATTCTTCTTAGCACTTCATGCCATTATTCCCCAAGACACATGTTTTTAGGAAGCAGTTTGTCTAGCCACTTTCTTTTTAATTGCTCCTGTCTGTCTCTTTACTGCAGTGCTGAGCTGTGAGGGACGCGTCCTTTGCTGTTTACCGTTCAAGCAGCATTCCTAGGTCACCTTTGTTAAAGAAATACAGTTATCAATGTGAAGATTTGTGCAATCTTACAGTACAAGAATATTCCAAAACCTTCCGCTGAACTTAGTGGGACTAGTTGTGAGTGAAGCTACTCACATGTGCAATTGTTTGTAGGATCTCACCTGTAGTTAGGAGGGAATGCTTGATTTTTGTGTGTGCTGAGTTGAGACTCTCAGATTGGGGGAAAATAAAGGTTTCTGGTTATGGCTTTGTAAAAGCGGGTATCCTTTCCTGTAAGACAGTATCCCGTCCCATCACACTGAAGTTCTGGTCGCTGCATTAACCAGAGGGAAGAGGCATGATGATCATAGGATGACAGGTGCAATACCTGTAAGAACTGTAGCGTAACCAGCTCCTCATTTACATGAGTTTTTTTTTTTAAGTTTAAAAATATTAGCGTGGCTAATCTATTTTTTTAGTTATGACTAAGATTGGATACTTGGGTAGTAATGGGTATTATTATGTGCTGTGTATGTGCTAGTTGGTTATAAAACCAAGGGCAGATCCTTAGCTGGTGTAAACTGTCATCGTTCCATTGCCGTCAAAGCGGTCATAGCCCCACTGATGCCCTCTGAAGATCTGCCCCCACGTGCAGATTTGCTGTGTGGACTCTAGGATGTTTGATGCTTTTTAATCCCACCTGTTTCTCATTAGCAACATCTCTTCTCTCATTTGCTTCCACCAGGAGTAACATTTTCCTTTTTCTGGAAGACTCAGGAGCAGCAGGCGAACTTTCCCCCAGCCTATGGTGGACAGGTCATTTCCAGTGGTTTCAAAATCTGCTCAAGTGAAGATGAAGGCTCTCTGGAATTTTATGCCCGTGGGAATTCAATGAAGTGGGAGGCAAGCTTTAGTCCCCCAGGTAAAGTTCAGTTTCACTGTCGAGGGTTCAGAATGGAGATAAAGTAGTGATGAGCACAGCTTCCTTATCTGGATAGAAAGAAAAGATGAGAAATGAGGAAGTAGGTGGATAGATGAAGGATGGATAGGCTTCACATCCCAAGAGAGAAAGCAGGTATTAGAACGTCAGTGATGTGCTATACAGCACAGTTACAGTTCAAGCCACCATCCAAGGGTCTGGGATCCTGCATTCCCCAGTCCCTAGTGAAGTAAAATTCTTATTGACATCAGTGGAAGAATAGGGGTTTACCTGAAAAAGAGCGAGTGAGGAGTGCAGGATGAAGCCTTTGGAGTCCTCACTCAGAGCATTCGTAAGCTGGGAGTCCAACTTCCCATGCTCTTTAAATTTTAAACCTCTCTGGTAACCCTTTTGGGTAAGTATTCCATGCTTACATAATACACGTTGGCCATTTGTATGGTAAGAATGAAGTCCTGGAAATGTATTTGCATGATTATTAATAATGTATTTTAAAATGAATATCTTATTTCTGTCTTCTGATCCAGAATGCAGGTTACTAATTGAGAAGCAATGGGATCTAGTGGTTAGAAGAGGGCACTGGCTGATAGGACTCGTGGATTGTAATTATGGCAGAGAAAGTCACTGAACCTTTCTTTGCCTCATTTTATCCACCTGTAAAATGGGGATAATAATACTTTCTTACCTAACTCCTCTGTAGCTGTGATGTTTAATAGTTTGTAAAAGTGTTTTGCCAGGAAAGCTGTTGTATATATGTAGTTATAATAATTGTCACAGGGATTAAAGTAAGTAATGTTTGGACCTCTTTAGCATAACGTAATCTGCAGCAACCTTTAATTAGTCTTTATTTATATATTCTCTAGTCCTGAAGTCCTTATGCAGCCCTCACTGAAGTGGGAGTTTTGCCTGAGATAGGACTGAATAAGGGCTTTAGATCTGGGCCCATAGTATAATTTATGCAATTGCAATGAGCCTGAGGAAGGATTCAGGCAAAATGTCACTGAAGCCAGTAGGGGTTCTGCCAAAGTATGGACTGTCCCTTGTGAATAAAGAGTAATGCACATGATATCATTGCTCCTTAATTCAGTGTTGACGCTTCCTTTATAGCTCCATTGCATTGCACAAATGAAATGCATTTTAACTAAATTTTATTGAACAGTAAATGAGGTTGATTCATGGATTTTACAGAGCGTTTTAATATTTTTCAGGTCCTTACTGGACTCATATTCTCTTCACGTGGAAATCAAAAGAGGGTTTGAAAGTCTATGTCAATGGAACTCTAAACACCACCGACCCAAATGGGAAAGTTTCCTACAGCTATGGGGACCCCAACGCAAATCTGCTGACAGGGACAGAGAATGATCAGAGCAAACGCTATGTGAACGGGGCTTTTGATGAGTTTATCATATGGGAAAGGGCACTCACCCCCAAGGAAATTGAACTATACTTTACAGCTGCTATCGGTAAGTGGGAGCATATTCTGATTGTATAAATGTTGATTTTTAAAAAGTTCAGCTGTTAAACCAGCTGTCTTAATGGCCAATAATCTGCAGGTATAAATGTTTAGAGGAATAAATGTTCATAGGAATCACTTTGTCAGTTTCAAGGGAGGTGTTTGTTTCTCACCCTGGGGCACAGCCCCTCAGACATGTCACCCAAAGGCACCCACTAAGTCTCACCTCATCTATTGGCTGGAAGAAAACCTCAGCAGAATCCAACCATTGCTAGGACAACCAAGCCACTTCCTTTTAACTAATGTCACAACAGCAAAAGGACCTATTTTTAAAAAAGTCAATCTTGTGACTGTCTTGGGAAAGCCTTCATTTGGTGCCTGAAATAGCAATAATATTTCAGTGCCGTGTCTGAAAATATTAAAAATGATATTTTTAATAAATGTATAATGTTTTAATCAGGTTGGCAAAAATTGCTGTGGTATCTGGTTGTTGTATCTATCACAACAAACCGGTGTTACTATAACACCATCAAATCCAAAACTACTATAAATCTCACTTCCTGGATTAATAGAACACAAGAATGTTATGTTACTGAACTCCTCAAGTGCTCTAGATTTTTAAATTGCCCCAGTCCATCTATATGTATGCACTGTTTCACTGTCAGACAAGTATGGCTCTTGTATAAATATACTAGAAGGATAGAAACTTTTTTAACCCCTTCAGTGTTCATGAATACACAGTTGTTATCCCCAAGTCCCCAACCTGCCTCCATGTACCATTCCAAATAGTGGATGCAGCTTGGAAAGACTTTGCCGGGGATGTTCCCATGGTTGCAGTATGCAAAGTATTAGTCTCATATTATTTTGCTCCTAATTTTGCATTCTTTGGCTTAAATTTGAAAACCATATGAGAAATTAGACCCTGCACCCAATATTGCATTGTTGTGGGCTTACAATAGCTAGTCGCAAGACATTACCGCTTATGGCTGAGATTTTCAAAGGGGCTTAAGGGAGTTAGACACCCAATTCCCACTGAACCCTATATTTTTGAAGAGTTACACAGGGTTTTAACTGTATGTGAACCCCCCCCCACACCCCTGCTGATGTTCTGAGAAGAGACATGGATGCATCCCTAAGTGCTGCTTTGCAACTTTAGAAGTTTGCGCTATGTTTCAAACTCTTGTGACCTTTTTTTTTGAAATTCCAAGTCTCATAATATTTGATGGTTTTTTCCCCTTAAATCCCCAGTTCCTGGTGTCATGTGAGAATCTTGCCTTTCACTTAGAAAACAAAAGCAAGTTTTTGGCCTCATGGTTACAGAGAAAAGCTTGACCCAAGTGGACCCTAAAGGCTCAGAAGCTGGAAGGCAAAAAAAAAAAAAAAAGACCCCAAATGTATTATTTTTTTTAAAAACAGTGTGATTTTTAAGCCAATCCCATTATTTTTAGAGGCCTGGCTCATGATTTTTGAACACTTGTGGTGGGCGTTACGGAGTGTGCTTCTTTCTCATGGCTCTTTTCTCACAAGTGTTGATATCCGTGCAAGTTGATTGGTGAAATTGTGACATGATCCGCAGAAACACTAGTGGTTGTTGATAATGGCAGGCTATATAATTAGGCAAAGTTATCCTTGGTGTAAATTCAGTGACCTCAGTGGAGTTTCACGAGAACAAATTCGGGCTATCTTTATCAAAAGCTTAATTAGGAAACTCACTTTTAAAAAAAATGGAATGAATAGCTATGCTATTTTACATAACAAAGACCAGTAATATCCGACAATTGTGCCCAAATACCAAAATAATGAGCATAATCTAAATTCAAAGAGAGAGAGTTTTACTTTTCTGGTCACAAATGATCCATAAATCCTGACACATGCAGAGGAATCAATACATTTAACATGGAACTGCTGGAGGGCATCCAAAAATCTAGTTTATACTTTTTGTCTCAGTAAATCATTTATGACATACTCATATGGTAACCTTCACTGAGTGTAGTAATAGCGAGTGACATTTATTGGTAAAGCCAGGCTGATTAAAAGCAGCTTTCTCTGTTGCTTGAAGTCAACTCAAATAGCTAATGGAGACATTATCTGAAATGGTGCTCAGACTTCTTGCAGATGCCATATTTTAAAAGCAAACTGGAATGTCGGTTGGTTTGAGGCTTTATACCCACTTGCTTTTGTACAAGACTCACATGCTTACTCATCAATAGCTGCCATCCCTTTGTTACGCTCTTTTGTTCTGACTTTGGGTGATGTCCTGGTCCCATTGACTTCAGTAGGAACCTCCACTGATTTCAGTTGGGCTAGGGACTTCACCCTTTGCCTAGTTCTCAAAGATTTTTGTTCCTGAAGAGCCATCCATTGATTTTGTTCTAGTGTTTCAATGCTCTGGACGGCATATTCCTATTACCACTCCATCAAGAAATTTAGGCTCAAAATATAAATTCTTTATTTGTATTATGTTACATTATTACCTAGAGGCCCCGACTCAGACTGGAACCTCATTGTGCTAGGTGCTGTGCATATACCTAAAAATCCCTGTTGTGAAGAGCTTCCAATCTAAATAGAAAAGATAGACAAAGTGTGGAAGAAAGGAAGTAGTACTACGTGGAGTACTGAGGCACAATTTACTTAAGTCTCATTGATTTGCTGTGGCAGAGCTGGGAATTGAACTTGGATCTCCTGTCTCCTTATCCACAATGTCAACCTTCTTCTCTTTGTATAGATGTTTCCCTGGATTTAAAATTCCATTGAAATCAGTTTTTTGTTTTAAATTTAAAAACACTCCCTTGCAGTGTTAGAAATCCAGCCGAAACAGTGTTGGCCAGTGTATAAGGACTGGAAAGTAAAACTGACTAGAAACAGGAAATGAAACTGATTAAATACACCAATCTAGTTTCAATATTGGAACTCAGGAAAATGCAAAACAAATTGCATAGTCTTGGCTTGAATTTCTCAGAATTGCATTGTGAATGTTTCTCTTTTTTGTTTTAGTTTTTTAAAATATATTTATTGCAGGAAACTTTTCTTTTAAATTATAATTTCTTTTTCCTAGGCAAGCAACTTTTGCTTCCTTCAACACCTCTGTGGCCCATTATGACAACCACTACAAATCCCATGGTAGGAGAGTCCTCCTAACTCTTTTCTTTAACGTCAACAATAACTTCCCTTCTCAATCCTGTTTTGCTTTCTTGATATCAAAATGTATGTGTATTACAGAGAGGTAGCAGCCTTTCCATGGTTTAGGTCACATCCGGTTTCCATTTTACTCCCCTTTTAACTCATTAGAGTTATCAGGAAAAGGGGGGAGATTTTTTTTTAAAGTGATTTGTTTAACAGAGGATTAGAGCTGGTTTAGAGGGTCAAAGGGGAAAAAATCCCTCTTCTGCTGTCTCTTGTTCAAAACTTTGAACATTTAAATTTTGGAAATAGTTAAAAAATGGGGAAAATCATGAAAATATTGCAAAATGAAAAATTGTAATTTGGAACATTTAACCAGATTTATAACAGAACTCTTTCTTTCATTTGTTTAAGGGGCATTTGTATTAAATAGAAGTTTTAAAAATAAATACCAAAGTGTTTGTTTTATATAGTCTAAACAAAAATAACTTCCCTTTTCAATCTGGTTGTACTGTGTTGAAATCTGTGATATTAAAATCCTGTTAGGTTTCTTCTTGTTCATAGAGCCTTTCAGGAAACCAGGGTAGACAGGACCTGAATTTCTAATGAAAAGAACAAGCAGACAACAAATTCATTTCAGCAGCATTTATTGGTTTCATGTCTTTCCTAGCTTTGTTACAGTGTGTGTGTGAATATTATAATGTGTGTGCTGCTATATTAATCTATTTATCTTCATATGCTTATGGTCTATTGTGCATAATCAGAGCCTTACAATTTACTCTGCCTCAGGCTACTGAAAGGGAGTCTCAGACCAGACTTTGAGTTATCTTGTGTGCAGGAAGAGACTGGATTAAGCAGTACACTGTTTCTCCCTTTCTCTGGCTTTACCGCCAGAGAGGTACATAAGATCAGTTCTGGAGATGCATTGCTTGCATAACATGTAAGGATTTGGAGAGAATTAGGCCCCAAATTGCTGCTTGACTTTTGTGTAGTTAAGTATGGAAATAATGGCTGGTTACCAGGACATGCAGTGATGAGATAATGTTGTTGTCTTCTAGCTCTCCACAGATGCCTATCATCCTATCATAACTAAACTGACTGAGGAGAGAGGAAACTTCCAGTACCCAGAGGACCTGCTCCACTACCTGGAAAACATATCACTCAGTTTACCCAACAAATCCCCGTCGGAGAATACTGCCTTCAACCTGACAGAGGTCAGTTTCTTTCAGTTTTTAGGGTGATGCCAAATGATCTTGTTTTTACTTCACGTGCTGGAATGTAAAATGCTGCTTGAAAGATTTTGTTGATCATAAATTATACATATTTAAAAAACCCCAAGACAACTATTTTAATCAGTAGCAAAAGGTCAGCTGTCACTGGAAAAGACTAGTTTAATTACAGGGCTCATCAGCTTGTTGGGATATCATGTCATACTCGCACAAAATGGTAGCATCCCCGGGCATCATGGTTCTGGGTTAAATATAAACGTCTAGTTAGACTGAGAAGGAGACAATCACTTCTTGTGAAAAACCTTTTCTGCTATGTTCAAAATGTAGGAATTCTGGAATGATTATATCCTGGAAAAATTTCATTGTCTTTCTTGTGTACTCTAATTTATCAAAATCAGGGCTCGATCCTGCAGTCCTCACACAGGCAAATTTCCCACTGAAATTGGTGAAATGCAGGATCAGGCCCATAGTCCAACTGAAAGATTTACTCTTTTTTTTTTTTGTGGTTTGGTTCTTTCTCTGTGGATTATTTTAAACATTACATGCAGTCTGAACTAATTGAGGACAAGAGGTCACTTCCTGCTAACATGACTCCAGCCTCATTTGGAATGATGGGCAGCTAATTCCCTGTTTTCAGCAAGCTAAAAAGCCGTTATTATGGTAATCAGTGCTGGTCTTACCTAGGGTTACCATATTTAAACATTAAAAAAAGAGGACACTCCACGGGGCCCTGGCCCCGCC